AGCTCACAGCAACCTCCAACTCCTGGGCTTAGGTGATTCTCTTGCCTCAGCCTCCCGAGTAGCTGGGACTACAGGAACCTGCCACAGTGCCTAGCTATTTTTTGTTGCAGTTCAGCCAGGGCCAGATTTGAACCCGCTACCCTCAGTATATGGGGCTGGTGCCCTACCCACTGAGCAACAGGAACCACCCTGTATCATGATTCCTTATCCATTCTGCCAATCTCTGTCTTTTAACTGGAAGTTTAATCCATTTACATGAATGTAATTATTTTTAAAATTATTTTTACAATAGAGATAAGGTCTTGCTATGTTGCACAGGCTAGGTTCAAATGCCTGGCCTCAAATGAGCCTTCTGCCTTGGACTCCTAAAGTGCTAAGACTAATTGTTGATCAAGACCGATTTCTGCCATTTTACTATTTGTTGTTTTTGTTAACTGAAGGTCTAACTATGCACTAGGTCCGTTATACACATTATCACATTTTTTTCATACTTATGTTAGGGTTGATAAATCTGAAATCTAGAAAGGTGCAGTAACAGCCCCACTAAGTGGTGGAGCTGAACTGTGAGCCCAGCATTGCAACCATCAGCTCTTGCTTAGAAGTTTCTTCACCGGTCCCTTGAGTTCCTCTCTTGCCCTCCCGCAGCAAATCTCCACAAGTAGCCTAAGAGAGCCTTTAAAAATGTAAATCCAGGCCAGGTTTAGTGGCTCTTGCCTGTAATCCTACAACTCTGGGAGGCTGAGGCAGGTGGATTGCTTGAGCTCAGAAGTTCGAGAACAGCCTGAGCAAGAGCAAGACCCCATCTCTAAAAATAACTGGGTGTTGTGGTGGACACCTGCAGTCCCAGCTGCTCAGGTGCCTGAGGCAAGAGGATAGCTTGAGCCCAAGAGTTTGAGTGAAACTCTGTCTCAAAAAAAAAAAAAAAAATATATATATATATATATACATATATATATGTATGTATATATGTCCAATCATGTTTTCCTTGCTTCTGATCCTCCTATGGTTCCCACCCAGGGACAGGTATCCATAGTATCATAGTATCCTGGCTGATATGTATGCAGGAGAGGACTTGAGATGCTCACTGATAAATGACTATTGTTTACAGATATATTCAAATGCAAAGTTTCTTCTTTTCCATCCAGGCCAATTGGAACTCAAAGCACTGTTGACTTTAGTGTCATTTGCTGGCCTCTTTGTGCATCCCAGCCTATTCCTTGAGAGAGCCAAGAGGACCCCTTGCACAATGACTGTCACCAGAAAGCTTGTGCACTTAATTTGCCTTCTCCCCGCAGCCACACCTCACTTCACATTTTCTCCTCCTCTCCGCCTATCCAGGCAGTGCAGACCCTTCAGGATTTGCTCACTGATCTTCACATACTCAAGGAAACCACCAAAACCCTCAGGGAGGATGTGGACATGCTGAAGGACATGTTAAAAAAGGTAGTCCTCCCCCCCCTTCACCTTCCATTCTAGTCATGCTGCTCAGACCTCTGGCGGTGGGGGTGACAAGAAAGTCTAGAAAGCTTGTTCTCAGTCAAAGAATGTAGTTGTGAGGGTAGAGAAGAGGGCTTATGTGGTCTTGCCACTTGGATTATGACCCCTCAAGGGGGGTCATAATGTTCCTTGCCCCACTGTGTTAAGATATCAGCTAAAGGCCGGGCATGGTGGCTCACGCCTGTTGTCCCAGCACTGTGGGAGGCCGAGGTGGGTGGATCACCTGTCCTCAGAGGTTGGAGACCAGCTGAAGACCCCCCTGAGCCAGAGTGAGACCCCGTTTCCACAACAACAGGACAACGAGACAGCCGGACCTTGTGATCCCAACTACATGGGGGGCAAGAAAACACTACAGAAGGAAGAAGTAATAAAAAAAAAACAAAAACCTTCAAAGTAATAAGTTGAAATAAAAAAAATTTAAAAAAAGATATCAGCTAAAAGTGACAAATCTAATTCATACTGGCTCAGGTAAAAGAAGGGATTTATTGTCTTGTTTACTAAAAGTTCAGGGATGACTTCTCTGGGTTGGCTTCATTCTCGAGCAGCCATTCCCCAAATCTTAGCAACTCTAGGCTTACATTCCAGCAATTTAGGAGAAAAAGCACCTCTTCCTCTTCAAGAAAGCTCTGTCCACATTGAAAAGGGGAATAAACCTCGTACAGGCATATTTCTTTCTCCTGTAGCCACAAACCATCAATGTCAGCACGTTTTAATACCCTACCATAACATGTGAGGATAGTCCACAGCTGATCTGATTATCATAGCAATGTGAGAACTTCAACTTCGGGCTTGGTAGCTCCCATCTAAGGTCCCATCTAAGCAGAAAGGGCACTGGTAGGAAGTTGTGTCACGAAATACTAAAAAAAGACCCCTTTGATAAGATAAATCTGTTTGAAGAACAATTTCTTCTTACTCCATTTCTTGGAAGGTTTTTTTGTTTTTTTTTAATTTATTGTTGGGGATTCGTTGAGGGTACAAGAAACCAGGTTTTGTTTTTTTGTTTTTTTGTCTTTTTAAGAAATAGTTTCTCAGCCAGGTGTAGTGGCTCATGCCTATAATCCTAGCACTCTGGGAGGCCGAGGTGAGTGGATTGCTTGAGTTCAGGAGTTCAAGACCAGCCTGAGCAATATGGAGACCCCGTCTCTACTCAAAATAGAAAAACTGAGGCAAGAGGATTGCTTGAGCCCAATAGCCTGAGGTTGTTTGAGCTATGATGCCATGGCACTCTTTTCAGGGCACCAGAGTGAGACTCCATCTCAAAAAAAAAAAAAGACAGTTTATCACTTTCTTTGTCACCCAGGCTAGAGTACAATGGCCCGATCATAGCTCACTGTAACCTCAAAATCCTGGGCTTGTGACCTTCTTGCCTTGGCCTCTGAGTAGCTGGGACCACAGGTACATGCCACCATGTCCAGCTATTTTTTTTTCATATTTTTAAAGTCAGGTTTTTGCTGTTGCCCAGGCTGGTCTCCAACTCCTGGGCTCACATGATCCCCACACCAACACCTACCACATAGCTAGGATTATAGGCATGAGTCCAGCTCTTAGAGATTCTTAATGTGCTTTTTCCCATTCAAGGCCCTGAAAAATCCTGCAATATAAGAACCTGTCGAATGCTTTTAAACCCAGCATTTCCCAAACTTATTTTTCTGTGGAACCCTTCCCCACTCCCTGGGAAGCACTGGCTGTGGAATCTGCTCTTCCTTGTCATGCTTTTAGTCATCTAGAATGGTGGGAAGAGGTGGGACTGGGACCAGAACATGCACCCCTGACCCACAGACCTGGCTTATTTAACAGGTACAACCAGAAAAAATGGATATCGTCTATGATGAACTGAGAATGCAGAACAGGAAGATAAGCTCAGCACAGCGAGACATGGTGAGGATCATGGCCCCTGTCCTTCTCCCTAGCCCCCACCAGCCAGTGTCCTGGGTATTGGGTGTGGGGAGGGGTGAGGAGGAAAACACAGACTGGAAAGGTTTCTTTGCAGATGTGGGGTCAGTGTGGATAGGGAGCCACCTGAGTGCACTGTACCCTCTAGGCTCATGCTCTTCCTTCCCTACCCTCATCCTCCAGATTTCTCTGCAGAAGAAGTTTCGAACCATCCCCAAACCTGAGGACATGGTGCTGTGGAGTGGCCTTCATGAGGCCATGTTCACCCCAGTGAGTGAAGGAGGAAGAAGAACAACAGAGGGTTTGGGAAGATGGCAGAAGGGTGAGGGGTGTAGAGCAGGCAGGTGACTACAAGTGGAGAGGGGGTAAGAAGTTAGCCCAGCCCTCTCAGCCCTTTTCTCTCCAGGAAACTGATGCATCCCAGCTGGAACCATCTGGTCTGTGGCCAAGCCCAGAGCAGCTCCCAGATGCTGCCCTGGAACAGACCCTTGAGTTCCTCTACGCTGCTCATCCTGTCCAGGTCTCAGAGCCCATCCAAACCCCTCACCTCCTGCAGACCATCTGGGATTATGAGGTTCCAGAGGAGGTGTCTTCCCAGGAAGATTCACTCAGCAGTGCCCAGGAGCCAGGCCAGCCTCTGGCCCTCAAGCCTGGGACCATGCCCCAGCTTGGGGCTGCACCTGGACCCTCGCCCCAGCCTGGGGCTGCACCTGGACCCTCGCCCCAGCCTGGGGCTGCACCTGGACCCACGCCCCAGCCTGGGGCTGCACCTGGACCCTCGCCCCAGCCTGGGGCTGGACCTGGACCCTCGCCCCAGCCTGGGGCTGCACCTGGACCCACGCCCCAGCCTGGGGCTGCACCTGGGCCCAGGCCCCGGCCCCAGTTAGGGCCTGCACCTGGGCCCACGCCCCAGCCTAGGGCTGCACCTGGGCCCAGGCCCCAGTTAGGGCCTGCACCTGGGCCCAGGCCCCAGTTAGGGCCTGCACCTGGGCCCAGGCCCCAGTTTGGACCTGCACCTGGGCCCATGCACCAGTTTGGGCCTGCACCTGGGCCCATGCCCCAGTTTGGGCCTGTACCTGGGCCTGCCCCTGGATTTGCACCTCCACTGGAGTCTGCGCTCAGGCCTGCACTGGGGCCTGTGCCGGGGCCAGGTGTGACACCTGGGCTTATGCAGGCACCTTGGCCTGCCCCAGGTGCCCAGCCCCCACCATCACGAATGTGGCCTATGCCTCCAGGTCTCAGAGAGGGACGCATGCCTGGCTCGTGGCCTTTCTGGGACTTAAGGTCCACTCATCCCCTGCCTCTTCAGAGTCCACCACCAGCCACAGAGTTAGGCTCAGCATGGCCTCATCTGCTGCAGCCACACCAGTATCACCAGCCAGCAGCCTCCTTGCTCTCAGCTGTCAAAGAAAGTGGGGAAGAAACTGAGGATGAGGTCACCCAGGATGGGATCTCTGAGGATGTGGTCCCCAAGGGCAGAGTCCCCAAGGATAGAGCCCAAAAGTTTAGGACACCCAAGGACAAAGCCTTCAAAGATAGAGCCTCAAAGGATGGGGCGCCCAGGGAAGTACAGCCAAAGGATCCCCGGGCTATCCTTCAGCGGATAAAAACAGCTGCCACCATTGCTGCAGCTGCCGCTGCCGCATACGCAGCTGCTGCAAACTCAGCAGCCGATGCAGCCAGGGCTGCTGCAAACCAGGTTAAGGATGCCCCTGCCACCCAAATGGCTACCAAAGCAACAACTGTGGCTGCATCTGGAGCCTTAGGGGCCTTTGCAGATTTTTTGGGCGCAGGGGCTTCCCGTGGGGCCTCAGACTTCATGCCCATTACTGATGACAGCATCACTCCTGATACAGCCCTGCTAGATGCTAAGCAGGCCACGACCCCCGAAGAAAAGAAGAAGGCTGTCACAAATTCCCTGAGCTACGTACCCCAGATTCAAATGACACATGACTCCCTGAGAGCGGAGTTTGACCAGCTGTCATCTGCCTTGAATGAGCGCTTTACTTTTCTAGGTAGGCCTGGTGTGTCCCCAGAAGGGTGGCAGGGGTTCAGGCCCTCCCTTTGGGCTTTGAGAAGCACCTCCTCTCTTTCATTTGGCTTCCCCAAGAAAATCTACATTCACCCATTAGCCATTCATTCCTTTGGTGTAAGCATTTAATCTTTTACTAGTCTATCCTTTTATATTTAATGTACAATAAGGTTTTATCTTTTTTTTTTTTTTT